TCAGTAAACAAAAAAATGACTTTCATGTCCTTCTTTACCAGGTACATAATAGGTCTCAGTAAGTCTGTTGACCTATCGCTTCAAGAAAAGAAAAAAAACCAAATATCCATTTTAAATATGAAACAGATATTAATGAGGTACACAAACCAGAAAAAAATAAACAAAACAAACAGGATGTAAGCCTCTTGACTTTCCCACTGCCTGGGTTGTGCCCAGCTCCAGGCACATAGACAGCCCTGAACTCCCCTTCCTAGAGGTCTGAGGGGACACTCACCAGGAGCCAGGACCAGGAGCCAGGCAACAGCTCCTACCTTATTCTGGAAGGAAAGAACATAAAACAAGAAGGAATCTTCTAAAAATTGTCATGGGAAATCAGAACTGCTTGTAAATGTGAAATATTCCACTGCTTTTCATTCTGTCTGGGGAAGAAATCTACTTCTACCACTGTTTCCCCTGTGTAATACTTTCAAGCTCAAAAAATAAGTTTCTAATTCTCTCAGTCACATAATAAAAAACAGAAAACATTCCAGATAATTTGTGCCAATTTAGATGATTCATGTATTACTTTCCCAGACTAAATGGTCTTTGGCCATTGCTTTCAAGTCAATGAAAGTGCGGAGAGCAGGACCTAATTACAGATCTGAGTCACTGTCTAGAAGTTCCCTCAGCCCAGTGGGCTATCTCCACAAAGGCACCATTTCATTTGGAGGTATAAAAACAATCCAAGTCTGCAAGTCCCTTTATAGATTAAAACAAAAATAAAAACAAAGAATAAGACACAATGCCACTCAACAAAACAAAAAGGAAACAAAAAGAAGTAATATCAGTGAACTAACTACATTTTTCTACGAAATTTTCCAAAATAAGCTTTCCACAAGTAGCCAAATATAAAAGGGCTGGGGACATAGCTCAGTAATACAGTGCTTGCCCAGCATGTATGAGGCCCTGGATTCAGTCTCCAGTACCTAAAAACAACAATAAAGCAAATGTAATACTCAAGTTTTTTAAACAAGAAAACAGACAGAAAGCATATTGCAGGATCATATCTTACATATCCCAGTGCCTTTATTGATCTAACGTCTGAAACAGCCCTCTCTTAAACACTGAATATTGTCTCCCAAAGCCAGAGATTTAGCACTGTTTTCAGACATAGACTGAATATTTTATCTACTAAATGGAAATACTCAAGCATAAGCAACATTTTAATTTAAGATTCAAGTCCACAATAGGAGGGAAAAGCTAAAGACCATTTCATTTAGACCAAATTTTTAAAAGAACCCTTTAAAACAACAATGAAATACATGCACAAGGCACAAAATCCTAAGATTTTACTTCAATAAATTATATTCTTGTCTTCTTCCTAAAACACAGATATGAGATATATGAGTTAAGGAAATTCTGATTTTGCATTTTCTCAAGTCATAAACATTTAAACAAAAATGACACCATGAACCTAGCATGGTGGCACATGCCTATAATCCCAGCTCCTTGGGAGGATAAGGCAAAAGGACTGCAGATTTAAGGGCAGTATGGGTAATTTAGCAATATTCTCTCCAAATAAAATTTGTAAAAGGGCTGAGGATGCAGCTCAGTGGTAGAGCTTGTCAAACATGCCACCCCACCAAAGATGGAAGGAAAAAATGAAAATTCTCTTTTAATTATCATAAGCCTTTCTTTTATACTTTATCAGCAGTCTCCCAAGTTGAAAGGATTAATAATTTCTGAAAGGAAGTGACTATTCAGTTCTGTGGAAGCAACATTCCAAACAGCAAAGAGTGATACAAATATTTCAGGAGTAAAAGAATGAGGTTTTCTAAGGTAAAAGCTGAAGTACAATGCAATTGTATAGCATTCCAAACTGTACAGCAATGCAGAATGTTAAAGTACATTGCATGAATGTTAAAGTACATTTCATGCAAAAGAGATACAAAATGATTTCTATGATACCATGTTGGGCCTCAAAAAAAAAAAGAGAATATTAAAGATATTCAAAGAACCAAGGTTCTGTTCAGTTTTAAAGTACATCTTTCAAAATTCAGACAAGTGGGATATTGCTTCTATAGCCTGACACCAGTATTAGTATCAGGCAGACACACCAGTAAAATTTAGAAAGCAAAGATCTATAGCTATGAAAGTAAACTGTCACAATGCAAAAACATAAATAAACTTACTGAAGTGTGCATTCTGACCTTTCTGATAAATGAAACTATTTAAAGGAAATAGTAATCAACATATTCTGAAAAAGATTAACTGACGATGCCATTTGGTCTAAAAGTCTCCTGGACATTCCAAACTGTACAGCAATGCAGAAGCAGGTACAGAAAATGAACTGAGTGGCAGACCATGTAGCTGAGGAAAGTGCTTTACAGTGAAAAGCTGTGCATATGTTGTTTCAAACTCACCAACCATTTAAAAACTAAAACATGTATTACATATCACCCAGATAATAGACCTTTACTAAGTATCTAAAAGCAAATGCACAGCCTCCTTCAGTGACCTTGAACTTCTTTATGATTTTAAATAAATTGTACACGGCATCCCCATGTACCCCAAGTAAAACAGCATACAAAAATCATGACATGTTTTTCTCATTTTTTTTAATTAAGGGAAAACTAAATTAAAAAATAGAGGGATATATTATAGTAACTTCTTTGTTTTCCTATTAACCTGATTTGAACCCCAATATTGCTCTCCCCATCTTGTTCTGTCTGATTATACTATATTCTATTTTGTTTGATAGTATCAAGTTTGAGGGTAGAGACAACCACTTTGAAGGCAATAAGATATACTATGATGCCCATTATCGTTTGACTATTATCTTTTTTTGAAGTCCTGTAAGGTCTCCAGTGTAGGTTTTATTGGTCTTGTTCTGTACTATTTTGATCAATTCTATTATACCTGATGATATAGGAAACTCAATTGAAAAATAGCAAGAGGCACAATGGTAACCACTTTTGATCACCTGGTATTCTATTTTTGCATCAAGTACTATGCCCATCCTTCTGTTCTAACTCTATTTTGCTTAGTCATGTTTGGTTTTATTCTATTCAAAAAAAGTAATAAGAACTGTGGGAGTAATAAAACCCAAAAAGTATAATTGTTATTGTAAAAAAGAGAGAAAGGAAGGTAGACTAAGGGATATAACTGCAGGTATGTTTGAGTGCGTAGGATGGAAAACCGTATTACTGAGCTTTTGCTGGATCATTGAACGGAACTGTCTCCAATATCACTGTATGAATGTCCACTTTATATGCTTTAATTTTATAATTTGGACAACTGTTTCTAAGAAGACAATATGTAACCTATTAACTAGTGATTTCTTACTGCATATTTTTTTCTTGATATTCTGTATTACTTGTACCCTTTTACTACTTTGGTTTTTTGTCCTTTCTTTTTCTCTTTAAATAAAAAAATGGGCAAAAATCATGACATGACTTCATACATGACAAAAAGTGCAAATAAATGCCTGGGAATAATAAAAACCAACACAGTACGATAATTCCATGGAGATAGAGAAAGGGAACTGCTATTAGGAAAGATGACACTGAGTTTTTATCTGTTTGGTGGAACTGATAAACATTCAATGTCTCTAGTGTTGGGGCAAATGGGTACTGTTATTCTTCAGATAATTTTTATATTTGAAAAATTCATGTATTTTTCAAGAAAAAAAGGAATTAGAAGTATGAGTTTAGATTATTCTAGGAAAAAAACGAAGTACAGTTGTGTACATTTTATAGAGGATGGTTTTAGACCTATACTCCAAGACTCTTTTTAGCATGCCTAGCCCAAGTCAGTTTGTTGATTAAGAGGTGAAATGAGGTATGTGACACGCACTATTATTCTATTCTTATGTCTCTGAATATGGAATCACTACCTGCTAACTGTTAAGAGTAAAGAGGATGCCAATATACAGTTCTTGCTTAACTTAATGGCATTATTTTGCCTTGCTTTGCAATTACTCCTACATTCCTCAGGGAGAAACTAATGGATTACTAAAAATAAAAGGGAGATTAAGTGAATCACTTCGGATGTTTTGGCTCCCAACTCAAATAGGCTTAAACAAAAAGGAAATGTATTGGCTCAAATACTGGACAGGCTTCAGAGCTGATTTCCCTGTGATTCTGGACTCTGTCCACCTTGTATGGCTTCCTGCAAAGACTAAAGCCAGAATGCTATGGCTATAACAGACCTCACACCAACACACAACGATATTCAAAAGCAACAGGCAGTGTCTTCCTGTAGCTCTGTTCTAAGTATGAGAAGACTTTTGCCAGGAACTCCAGGCAAACCCTCCCAGGGGTCTCACTGGCTCAAACAGTATTACCATACTATTCCTAAAATCATTACTCTAGCCAGGTAACACTCAAATCTGATATAGCCAAAATTTATGAATCAACCAGGGACAAGGCAGGCTAGGGTGCCTGCCCCTAATTCACTCTGGACCTAGTCATTACCCTAACAACTCTTTAATATGCGAAACACATGACTAGCTCCAACATTCAAGTCTACTCTGTTGGCATTTATAGAAAGCCTATCAAAACATGAAATAAAGCAATGTAAATGTAAATAAAGCAATGATATATCTGTATATAAAAACTACAAGACTTAAAAAATAGTTGACTAGCCAGATGTGGTACTACATGCCTACAATCCCAGCACTCTAACAGGTTGAAAGGGAGAAGAACTGCAAATTCACTGCAGCCTGAGAAATTTAGTGACTTAGCCACTGGCTCAAATATAAAATAAACAGAAAGGGCTAGGGATATAGATCAGCATGAAGGTCCTAGGTTTAATCCCCTGTGCCACAAAAAAAGAAAGACAGCCAGACAGTCAAATGCACTGATCTCTGAGAAACAAGTATTTTTAAAAATTGTTTCTATATTTCCATTATTCCCATCAATAATTTAAATACATGATCTGGGGTTGTCTAGAAAAGAATGGGGGAATCTGAACATAAAAGTCAAAACTTTGCAAATATACATGTATAGCATGGTACTTACTATATTCTTGTGCCATGATTACAGAAACTTAAGACAACAGCATCCATACTACTAATGTACAACCTGAAAGGAAAAGTTAAAATACATCAGAAATTTCACAAGAAACTTTAAAAAGTCTTACTTATTTTTCCTAAAGGAAACATCTGTACTTTAAACATCAGAGAAACTGTCAAATGAGAGTACCTAAATATTTTTAAATTTAAGATTACCTGCATCAATTTCAGATCTGTCACCAAAGCAGGCTATGGTGCTGTACACCTATAATCCTAACATTCAGACAACTGGGGCAAGGCAAAACCCTGTCTCAAAAAACAAACAAACAAAACACACACACGCATATATTTTTTTTCAAATGACATTGTAGTCTAGCATAGGCAAGCAAGTGACCCTGTCTCAAATCAAAAAGTAAAAAGGGATAGGGAATATAGTTCAGTGCTGGATTTGATCCCCAGTACAAAAAATAAGAAAGAGAGGGATAGAAACAGAATTATTAAATCTCAAAGCCACGTAGTCTAACAAGAAACTTCACAAAACACTAAAAGAAAATGCCTAACACTCTACATTATACAACTAGCTCATTCAATCTGATGCAATTTAAAGTTAGACAAATCAGCTTCAACTTCAATCTCTAAAGAAAAAAGAGTTCTTTACAAAAAAAAAATCTGATTCAAGTATTTGATACATCATCTTATTTCACAAAATCTTTGAATAGTCAGCATACCACGGATTATTCAACAAACAACCATATAGCTGAAGACTCAAGATTTAGAATGGATTTAATATTCACAAGTGAAAGGTAGGAACTTTGTCCTTCTCCATGTCCCAGTACAAAAAATATAGCAGGAGTGTCATGGTTTATGTCTGTGTCCCCCAGCCTCATGAGTTTGCATTGTGCATCTGTGATGGTTCATTGTCTAGTGCTTGGATTGATGGTGTCAGTGCTACACCCACAAAGGGGTGGAGCCAGGATGTGACGTAATGGCAGGAAGAAGGTGTGTCTTGCTTTTTGCTGGTTCCTGCTTGCTGTTTGTAGCAGCCATGAACTGCTGCCCAGCCATGCCCGCCTGCCTTGGAGCCAACTGAGTGTGGACTAAAACCTCCAAAAACTGTAATCTTTCCTTTCCCAACTTTGGGCTTCAGGTATTTTGTCTCAGCAACAAGTAAAAAGTAACTAAGACAAGGAGCTAGGCACAATGGCCCTCATCTATTCAAGAGGCTGACACATAAGGACTGCTTGAGTCCAAGAGCTTGAGGCCAGCCTGGGGAAAATGCTTAACTATTCTCATAACTAAATAAATAAATAGCTGAGTGTGGTGATGCACACCTAGAATCCCAACTGCCAAGGAGGTTGAGGCAGGAGAACTGCAAGTTTAAGACCAACCTGGGTATGTTATCAAGACCTTGTCTCAAAATAAAACATACAAAGGAATGGGCATGTAGTTCATTGATAAGGATTTGGGCTCAACCCCCACTGTAAAAAAAAAGTTTAAACAGCCATTAAGACAGTAATCAAAGATGGAGGCCTCAAAATAATAGAAAATATTTATTTTTGTGGTGCTGGGGATTGAACCCAGGGCCTTGTGCATGCAAAGCAAAACTCTACCACTGAGCCACATCACCAGCCCAATCACAGAAAATATTTACAGTACATATATTCACCAATGAATTCATTTATTGTATATAAACAATTCCCACAAAACAATTTTTTGAAAAAAGGCTTCCTAAACAGAATACTGAAATGACCAAAGAGGACATGAAAACAGCCCAGCCACATTTATTGTCATCAAAATATAAGTTAAAACTAAAATAATATCAGACCAGGTGGGACAGGCATATAGTCCCAGCACTCTGTGTGAGCTATAGAGTTATAGCTCAAGTCTAAGGCCCTAAATTCAATCCCTAACACTGGGGAGCAGAGGCACACTAAGCTGAAATGAGATAAAATTATTTATTAGTCAAGTGGCTAAAATTTAAAAATCGGACATCAAGTCTTTGTATATGAAGCAAATGAATTCTCATATACTACTGGTGAGAGTAAAAACTAAAACCATTTGACAAAATCACAGTAGAATACGAACATGGTCTCTGATCCTGGGTAAATGTCTTCTAGCAATGGTCACAGATAGGCTCTTAAAACACTTACAGTAATATTCAAAAAGAATTAGGAATAATAGCCAAAATCTAGTAACAAACTGTTGCATATTGTTGCGATGGAGAACAGGAGTCAGTACATTCTTCCTGCAAAGGATCAGATAATAAATACTTTGAGCTCTGTGGGTTATAATGTCTCTGTACTCTGCCCTATGTACTTTATTTATACTGCTTCTAAAGTTCAAAACCACACATTATGATTTTGGCTATTCCAATAAGAGTTTATTTATAAAAATAGCCAGGCCATAAGCTGCAGTCCTTCCTGCTGTCCTGCAAAGAAAATAAGTGAACCATAACAATAAAACACTGATAAACATTATCCTCACAAACATAATGGTGAAACAAAGAAGCCAGACACATATTATGTTATTCAAAATGGGTAAAACTATCTATGTTAGGAGTAATGTGTAGAAGATGAGATAAGACCAGGGGAGAAGAAGGGAAATCTGCCAATATTACATTTTCCCTGATTTCTGTGAAGATTCATGGTTATGTTCGATATGGAAGGTTCAAATGAATACCTATGATCTGCCTGTCTTTATTTTGAATAAGAGGGTAAAACACCTTTTTTAGGGGTAGGGTCGAGGAGGGAGTGAAAAACGTCTCACCATGTAGCCCTAGCTTCTCTAGAACTCACAGTGATCCTCCTGCTTCAGCCACCTGAGTGCTGTAATAATAATTTTTATAAATAAAGAATATGGGTTAAATTACTAAGTGGAGACTTCTCACAGCTCACTGTCTCTGGATATGAGGCTTGGGAACAATGGCAAGCCTTGTGTTCTACCAGCAGGTTTCTGAATCCCCTCATTTATAATGTGATGTCTGTACTAGAGAATGAGCTGTGATTACACAGAACACAAGGAAGGTAGCAGGAGGTGAATACAACACAGAGGGAGAAAGGAAACTAACAGATGGGTGGATGAAGGGATTCACAGAAATAAAGTCTTGCATTTTAACATAATCTGCTGAATAATCTATACCGAGTACAAAGTAACATAAGCGGCTTACAAACACAATTTGGAAGGTCATTGAGCTCGCCTTTCGGACAAAAATAATGACAATTTTAAAGCTTACTAAGGTTTTTAAAAGACTGTTGGAGGGATTTATTTTCAGTACAACAACTTCTTTCAATCTAATAGATTAAATGGGCAAGAAGTTTCAGTTTTTCAAGTAAAAAAGTAAAGTCTAACAGATAAGTAAAGTCTAACATCCTAGATTTGTAGGCTTGCAAACTATCCACAGATCATAGGTATTCATTTGAACCTTCCATATCGAACATAACCATGAATCTTCACAGAAATCAGGGAAAATGTAATATTGGCAGATTTCCCTTCTTCTCCCCTGGTCTTATCTCATCTTCTACACATTACTCCTAACATAGATAGTTTTACCCATTTTGAATAACATAATATGTGTCTGGCTTCTTTGTTTCACCATTATGTTTGTGAGGATAATGTTTATCAGTGTTTTATTGTTATGGTTCACTTATTTTCTTTGCAGGACAGCAGGAAGGACTGCAGCTTATGGCCTGGCTATTTTTATAAATAAACTCTTATTGGAATAGCCAAAATCATAATGTGTGGTTTTGAACTTTAGAAGCAGTATAAATAAAGTACATAGGGCAGAGTACAGAGACATTATAACCCACAGAGCTCAAAGTATTTATTATCTGATCCTTTGCAGGAAGAATGTACTGACTCCTGTTCTCCATCGCAACAATATGCAACAGTTTGTTACTAGATTTTGGCTATTATTCCTAATTCTTTTTGAATATTACTGTAAGTGTTTTAAGAGCCTATCTGTGACCATTGCTAGAAGACATTTACCCAGGATCAGAGACCATGTATTTCATCTTTTTTCTAAACATGGTAAACTGAAATTTACTAAGCTTAAATTTTAATTAGACATTCTAATTTCTAGGAGTCACAGGAAGTCATTAAATTACCAGGGCAGTGTACAAATACATTAGAAAAGGCAGAGACCATAAAAAAGCTAAGAAGTTTATGGATATCACATTTTACAGATTTACACTCTATTATCATAGGCCTCTCGCATGAGATACAATAAAAAGTACAGTGACAAAAGAATTGGAAAAAAAAATGAAATCTGTTCTCTATAATCCAAAACTGACATGTGCAAGAAACTGGACTAGAACCTAGAAAGACAAACATAAAGTCCCTATCACTGAGGAACCTCACAGAATAAAGAACCTGCCAAGCCTCTGTACCCTTACTTTAAATGTCATAAAAGTTATAAAACATGGCCAAATGCTGTAGGAACTGTGAATTAACTGGAGGGAATTAATAAATAGATGAGGAATGAAATGCAAATGGGGAAAGGATGAGGAGAGGAAGTCTTCCATACAAGTAAGAGTAGAATACAAGAAACAAAGGGACAAGGCATGTCTCCAAAAATATCTTTTGTATGGTTTGCTATTTAGAACCATGGTAATAGTTCACAAAATAAAAAAGCAAGTAATTGCTGGGTGCAGGGACCCGAGCCTATAATCCTAGCACTCTGTAAGCCGAGACAAAAGGATCATGTGTGCCTGGAAGTTCAAGACACTGCACATTGAGGGTAGGAGGAGACACTGGGGATTGAACCCAGGACCTTTGCATTGAGGTATAGATGCAGTCTTTTCTTGCTTTTTGACAAAAATTCTCAATAAATCACTAAGTTGTCCAGGTTATGCTTTAACTTGCAATTATCTTGCCTCAGCCTCCTGGAATTCTGGGATAACAGACATGTACCACCATGCCTAGCCAAAACAGAATACTGTAGCAATAAAAGAATTAAAATGTAGTGGCTGGGAATTTAGCTCAGCAGCATAAGCGCCTGCCTTGCAAGCGTGCAGTCGTGAGTTCGATCCCCAGTACTGATAAAAAAAAAAAGAATTAAAATATCACTATGTA